CCTTGCCAGCTGAAGCAGGGAACTGGCTAAAGCAGCTGCACCCTGGTCCAACCATCACAAAGCAAGAGCCCCGACCCGAGAACTAGAAAGGCGAGGCTCACTGAGCCATTGATCCCTCTGCCCTTCAATTAACCCCACGTGTGTCTATCGGCCAGGTTGGCACAATACCTAACTACCTCAGATGGCGAGATGGAGTCTGGCGCACTTTGGACATGTTATTAAGGCAAACCAGTCCTTAGAGAAGGGCCTCATGCTTGGGAGAGTCAGCAAGAAAGAGGAAGACCTTCAATGAGATGGATTTGACCCAGTAGCTACAACCAGGGCGCCCACATAGGAATGACTGTGAGGATGGCCCGGAACCCGGCAGCATTTGGTTCTTTTGTGCCAAGTAGGATCATGATAAGGCAGAACTTTTGATGGCACTCAAGGACCAGAACAACTGGTAAATGGGGGTGAGGGTAAGGTGTGTGTTCTTTGGGGGGTTGGCAATGTAATGCTCTCCCCGTAGCCCAGAGTCCCACTGAATTCATTCGGTTGGGCCTGACCGTGCACTTGCTGCAGTAAACAAACAAACAAACAAACAAACAAACAGTTGTGAGGTCTGCCTCCCTTCATGGTCATGTTATCACGTCCCCAAGAAGTGCTGCTCTCGGGCAAGCAGGTATTTGTTGTTTGTCAGGGGCAGAAACCAGCCACAGTAACTTGTAAGTGTAAAGATAACTGTATTAGTCTGGGTACTTTGGAGAAACAAATCCACAGCAACTCATGTATTAAGAGAGAGTTTTATGTAAAGAAAAGGTGCATCACGAAAACATCCCAACCCAATGCTGCCCAAGCCCACAAGTCCAACATTAACCCATTTACCCAACACCAGTCCACAAAGTCCTCCACCTCACAAAACAGAGGCAATGATGCCAACTGCAGGAGGAAAGCTGAGTCAGTGAATGAACAAGCATCTCAGCACTAGCAGGGGTCTCCACACGGCTGCTCCAGCACCCAGGGCTGCATCGGGATAGATCCATGCGGCTTCTCCTTGGGGATGTCTTGTAGGAAGTCAATCTTGCAAGCTGAAGCAGGGAACTGCTAAGGCAGCTTCACCCGATGCAACCATCACAAAACAAGAGACCCGAGAACTAGAAAGGCGAGGCTCACCACCCATTTATCCCTCCGCCTTTCAACCAGCCCCACATGTGATTATCGGCCAGGCTGGCACAATTAACTAACTCAATAACCAATGAGCACCGAGCTAGCAAACCCAGTGCAAGGCGTACCCGGACCCATTCCTCCATCATGGCAGGGCCTCTGCCGTGGGGCTGGCATGACTGAGCGGGCCTCCGTATGGCCGGCAGCACGGGTTCTGCTGTGTGTCTGCTGGGACACAACTGACGATTCAATCCATGCCCAGTAAACAAAATATGACTGGACTACTGATAAGCTGTGGAAAAAAGAAAGTGCAGAGCAATTCAAAGATTTAGTGTCCTTTAAATAATATCTCGGTCCACTCTGACAGAAAGGAGCGCATGCTCTAAAAGATAAAGGAGAACAAAAAGCTCAGGGGACAGAAGAACTGGAGAGAGATTATTTTCCTGCCCCTTAGAGCGACTTCACTTTTTATAAAAACAAAACCTCAATAGCATCACGCAATTAGACTAGCAGAGGATCTTAAAAACAACAAAGCCCTCACTGTCACGGAAGCCATTCTGAACAGCCCCGTGGGTTTCTGAGAAGGTCAATCTTCATAGGAACAGAAAGCTTCATCTTGCTCCTGTGGAACAGCTGCTGGTTTCGAACTGCTGACCTTGTGGTTAACAGCTCAACACGTAACCCATTATGATTTACCACCAATCACTCTTCAGAATAAATGTAAAACTTCAAACTCACTTGTCATCGAGTGGAGTTGATTCGTGGTGACCCCCACAGGGCAGGGCAGAGATGGCCCGTTGGTTTGAGAGACTGTCACGTTTTCCGGCAGTAGAAAGCCTTGTCTTTCTTCTTGGGAGTGGCTGACGGTGTGCAACTCTTGACCTCGCGGTTAGCAGCCCAACGCATAACCACTGTGCTCCCTTTGACTAAAAGGCATCTTCTTGAACCATTTGATGGTTGGATTTAAATAAAAGGTTTCATCTTCAATTGTGTTATGGACCATTACTGCCTCATTGAATTACATAATTAGTTAAGTGGTTCCATAATTAATTTCTATCAGAATTATAGATTTTCTGGAAAATTACAGATTAAGTATTCAGATTTAAAATAATATTTTTAATGCATAATGCCATCCTTCACAAACATTTATATTTATCCTGCTAAAAATTTCAGGCATGGAATATTGACAAGTATCATTTTTTGTGTGTATACATTTTAAAGATTCAGAATTCAATCATGAAAATACAATTAATTTGGCTAAGGTCACCCAAACGTTCAAGATCAAGTGAGGGGCCATACTTCAGGCCCCCTCGCGTGATTTCCAGGTTCAGATCACATTATCATGGGGAAGGATTCTGGGAGGTGAAACCTCACGGGGGTGGGGGGGGGTGGAATGCCCTTAGATCAAGGGGCAACTTTGGGCTGCTTAGCTTCTCTGTGGAATGGAAACAATCACTTTACCCCAGATGGGTGGTACACGACAGCTCTGACAGTAAGTCAGAAAACAGGAATGGAGGAGCTTTGAGAAGTAAGTGATGATACAGATGCCTGGTGGTGCAGACCATTGGACTGTGAACCTCAACACAGGTGGTTCAAACTCACCAGACACTCTGCTGGAGGAAGATGAGGCTCTGTGCTCCCATGAACATGGACCGTCTCAGAAACTCCGACAAGCAGTTCTTCTGTGTCCGACAGGGTAGCTATGAGAATCAACTTGACGACAGTGGGTTAGATGTTTATTTTTAAGGACTTCAAATAACCCCCATTCTCTGCAGGTGACCAGGATCCACGCTATGACCAGAAGCTGGGTTGATTCACAGGTTAAGTGAGCACTAGCCTTACCAGCGGGGCGAGAGGGTCAGGACAGGATTCTGTTTCCTCCCAGCTGCCATGTCTACTGAGGTTGGACACCTGGAAGGGGGGGGAGGGGCGGGGAGGGATTGGGGACACCGTGGAAAGGGGCACATGCAACACTTCCATTGCTCCCAGTATAGAGGGGGTTCATAGAGAGAATGGTCTTGACTCTCAGGCAAAGCCTCTCTGATACATTTATGAGGGGATAGAGAAGGGGGGAGGGGCCCTGGGAAGCGCTAACAATGAAGGCCCCTGACTTCGAACAAGAAGAAAGACCGAACAGATGCCTCATGTTGCGTAAACTGTGACGCGCTCACAGTTGCCAGGACCTATCCAGAGCCTTCTGCGTAGGCCGGCTCGGGCAAGCTGTGATGGAGGGGTGACCAGCATGACGCCCATGTCGTAGCCTAGAAGCATAGGCACCGAGACTCCGGTGACCCTCCCTGCTCTCCGAATAGTAGCCTCTCAGAGTCCACTTGTGTGCCTGCCTTCAGTCTCTCTTTCTTGGCTCCCATCCTCCTCCCTCAGTTCTTTTGTCCTCTGGCCAGAATTTCTTGGAAAGGGTGGCCAGGATTCATTTGCCCAGGGACGAAGAGAAATAAACAGACTTCAGCCCCTTTGGGCAATGGCAAAGGAGAGAGGTTAGGGGGAAATGATGTTCTCCTCTAGATAAGCTCAGTCGTTTGGGCGGGCTCTGATCTTATTATAAGGCACCCAGAGAGCCGGCTGGGGAATGGCTGTGGGGGGAAGGCACCGTTACTCAGGGGCAGCCCTTCCCTGGCGCCCTTACAGGAATCTGACGTCCCCACCGGCTGGGCAGGCGCCTTCCCCAGGAAGGCCAGTTTGCTCTTCAGGGACTTGTCCGAGTGGGTGACTGGTCAGCCTCTTCAGCACAAGCCATCCGTTTGGAAGGCGGGGGGATGAAAACAAAAGTGCCAACGGTCTGGAGATGGGCCACTTGGCGAGCCTGGAGCAGAAATCCCATGAAGTCCGACTGCTCCACACCATCACGGCAACTTCGCTGCCTTCTGAGACACCATCACAGGGCCACTGACAAGACAGGAGAAGCTTCACACACCCCACCCCCCGCCCCTACAGGATTAGGGGAAAAAAAGTGGAAGTTCGATTGCACACCCCAGAGCAATCCCGTCGGCATCAAAGAGTCAGCAAAGAACCAGAGACCACGGCTGTTATCTTTTCCCCACTAATATTGGAGTTAGACAAGCCTCCATAAGCAAAGCCCAGAGGTCAGAAAGGAAGAAACAAGTGAACTGTGGTAGATTGAAAAAAATGAATATAGGTGAATGAAAAGACAAAAAGACAACCTTGGTCAGATACAGAAGCAGATACAAAACAAGAGACAAAAATACCTATGGGGAATAAATAAAAGAGTGCTCCCAATTAACAAAGGAATCGCACCACATTAAAAAGTTAAATCATGGTTTTAAAATCCAGTAAAAATGAGACACTGTTTTATAACAACCACATCAGCAGGCATTCGGTGTAGAATTATACCCAGTATTGATAGGCCATTGGGAAAAGGAAGAATGTCCTTTAATGATGCTGGAACTATAAGCCACGCAACTCTTTGGAGGGGTGGTCATCTGACAATGTATCCTCATTCATAATGCTTACCCTTTGACCTAGCACTTTTACGTCTAAGAATCTTTACTACGGACATATCTGCATAAATAAGTAGAGCCAACACTTGAGTTCATTGCCCAACGAACGGTCTCTCTCCATTTAGTCCCTGCTAGTGGAACCGAGAGCTTACGCTCACGTAGCAAGTGAGCATCTCTTGTTCTTAGAGAGGTGAGCAGGCAGCGGTGGTTCAGTGGTAGACTGCTGACCCTCTTTGTGGGAGCCCTGGGACTGTCGTGGTCTGCTGCCCTTGAAGACTTACTCACAGGGGCAGCTCTACCTTGTCCTAGAACAGGGGTGTCAAACTGGCAGTCTGAAATAAAATGTAATGAGGGAATTGTGCGTACGGTATTTTCTCGATCTAAGCGCTCTTTTCTTCATAATAATCTTTTCTATTTTCGTTTGATTTCAGAGCATCGTGGGCCACAAAAATTACCTCGGGGCCTCCAGTTTGACACCCCTGTCCTAGAAGGTCACTGTGGGTTGATCTCGACGTGATGACAGTGAGTTTTTTCTTTTGTGAGAGACCAAGGGAACCTCATGGGCAGCGACCACCCGTCTGTCAGTGGAGACGTGTGTTGCTGTGATGCTGAACAGGTTTCAGCCGGTTAGTCGTTCAGACTAGGACAAACGTGGGGGGAAAGGCCTGGAAATCTCTTGAAAGATCAGCCAACGAAAGCCCTACGGATCAAAGCAGTGGGATGCACTTCTTGTTCAGTTGTGCATGGGGTTGCACAACTAGAAGGCAGCCGGCAAAGACAGTCCTCTCCCTGTTTCCAGGGGTGAATTGTGATGAGATTGAACTTCACTGTTGGTAATTCCGTTCTTCCTTGGTGCGGTCCCAGTCCCGCCAGTGAGGGAGAGCTGGTGACGGCTAAGGGTGTGTGTTTTGGCACGGACCTTTGATTCTGGTTTTGATCCTGGCATGGGGGCATCGGACCATGGGTGCTCTTCTGACTGGAGAGAGGGTAATGGTAAATGAAGGATGACAACCCAGCTTGATGATGATGACTTGACACCTACAGACACCCCACTTCCAGACTTGTGGGCGAAAATGAAAATGGAATGTCTTTAATGTGTTCAATTTTTATTTATTGGCTTTTCTGCTAAGTCGCAACTAAAAGCAATCCTGACTCAGAGTGAGTGAAGGTCTAAGAATGCCCATTAGCATGGTTTCTCGTGCCAAATATTGGGAAACCTAAATGCTCCTCACTAAGAAATGAGTTCAATCAACAATGAGCTGCAATGTAGTCACTGAAAATAAACGATGACTATACAAAAGGTGTCAGCACTACTGTTACGTGAAGGTTGCAGGTGTGATGCAGAATAATTTCCTTTCTGCCTGGGTAAGATTATGCTCATCTGAAATCACATGTATATATACTTCCACTCCTGCAAAATTCCCGGAAGATGTCAGAGAACCTAAGGTTGGCTACTTCTGGGGAATCGAGTGGAGCATCGAGGACAAGGGAAGGGAGTGCTTACTCCTCCCCTTCTGCTCGTTCACGCTATCATGCTGCTTTTAAATGCAATAACCTGTAATAATAGTTGAAAGTTGGAGCCCTGATGTCTGCCCCATATTCCCCCTGCATGCTTGCATTCTCCCGGGGCTGCATGTGAAGTTTCCTCTCACCATAAATACCTGAAGCTTTCTTCTCTGCTTTCTTCATTTGGCATGCACAAAAGTGGAGCCAGGAGGGGGTGGTGGGAAGAGGTGCTCCCCCCACCCCTGGTGAAGGGAGCCACCCTCAAAAGTGAATGTCCTGGTCTCGCTATCATTCGGAGGGGGCTCAGAGGTGGGTTTCCCACAGTTTCCCCGAGACTCCCCATTGGAACGGAGCCCTGGTTGTCCACGGCAGACGCCTGCTCTATTTCACACTTGGAATGTACACTTCATGGAAGCAGCAGTCAAGAGATCAAACCAGTGCAATGGGCAAGTCTGCTGCAGAAGACCTCTTTAAATTTTTTAAAAAATTATTATTACTATTAATTTTTAGAAGACCTCTTTTAAGTGTTGATGAGTAAGGATGCCACTTTGGTGGCTCCGGACCCAAACGTCGGTATTGTCAGTCTCCTCAGATGCATGTGAAAGTTGGACAGTCGGTGAGGAAGACTAAAGAAGAATGGAGGCATTGGAACGATGGGGCTGGCGTATGCTGCATGTTGAAAATAAGGTGGACTGGCAGAAGAGCCAACACATGTGTCTTGGAAGAAGTACACCCAGAATGCTCCACAGACGCATGGATGGCGAAACTTCATCTCGCATACTTTGGACATTGTGTTAGGCCGGGTTCTGTAGAGAAGCAAAATGAATAATTCTTGTAAAAGATTCATATCAAGAAATAGTTCACAGTGTTGTAGACACAGGTAAATCAGGTCTGGTTCAAGTCCATGAGCCAGATAGATGTAAGCTGAAGGCCTCTGACTCATGTAGTTGCAGGAGCTGATGGACAGGAAACAGGAAGAACAAGCAAGAAGACCACCTTCTGGTGGATGCTGAGTTGAATGAATCTGAGATCAGCCAAATAGATCCAAAGTCTGCAGTCCACTGATGGCTCTTGGGATGGGGAGGTGAGTTAAGAGGAGGCCGATGAACCAGACACAAGATCAAAATCCAGCAGTAGAAGTCAGCTAGCTTCCACACACTGTCAATTTATACTATGAGTAGGTCATATACCCTCAATGAAACTCATGATACATTGTGTTAGTCTGGGTTGATTAGAGAAACAAATCCAGAGACACTCATATATGTGTAAGAGAGAACTTTGTATCAAGAAGTAACTATGCATCAATAAAACATCCCGGCCCAGTTCAAATCAAGTCCATAAGTCTGATATTAGCCCATGTGTCTGATGCTAGTCCTCTTTGACTCACACAGCACATGCAATGATGCCGAATGCAGGAGATCACCAGCCAGTGGATGGAAAGTCCTGTGGATTCAATGGCAGTGGACGCATCTCCAGGCCTCTGACTGCCACCAGCGTGGCTCCATGTGGCTTGTCAACATAAAGGGAAAGCAGAGAGAATGTCCCACCTCCAGGGGAGGAAGAGGGAAGTTCTCAGAATCCTCATGAAAAGGCTATGCCCACAGGTGGGATCAATCATCATCAATCATGATTGATAGGCTAGACTCCACCCCTTCAATCATTTGTCAAGTTGGCATGAAATCGTATAGCTACCACATACATGAAGGTTGTTCAAGTTAACTACAAGGGTAAGTCAAAAGGTACTGCTGCAAATTCATAGAATCCTTTATTGCCCCCAATGTATCAAAATGTGAAGCTGTCACTTCTCCACGTGCCCTTTATCTAGGTGTGTCCACTTGTGGATGTGGTATGGACTCTTTTTAACCCCTCCAGAAGAATTCTGTGCTTTTTGATTTGCAACACATCAAAACCACATTCTGGCCTCTTGAGGGATGCAAATCAAGTTCTTAAATGTTCTTTGAGTTTGGGGAACAGAAGAAGACTGAAGGAATGAGATCAGGGCTGTGTGTGGGATGGGACAAGGAAATGTTTGTAGGACAGCCTTGCTACTCTCAAAGAATTAGCAGGTACATTGTCATGATGGGGCTAAATCCGCAGCACAAGTTCCCTGGCCTTTTTCTCACTTTTTCAATTTTCTTAAAAGTCCTCATTTTAATTTCCCAGGTCATCCTGTGTCCTTCCAGAAAATCTACCAAGATCACCCCTTAGAAATCCGTCAATCCTTTCTGTGAATGAGCAAACTATAAGCCATTTCTCCCATTCAAGTATATCAGGTCACAAAAATGATACATGTTTTAAAAGCTATCTTTGCATCCTGTGTTAGGCAGGGTTCTCTTGAGAAACAAAACCAGGGAACTTATGATTTTATATATATATATATATTTAAGAGGATAGATTTATATAGCAAGAAAGAATATAACTAATTGGTCCACACAGTAGTACAGAGGGCTCAGTTTAATGCACTTTCATGGAATAGTTAATATGCTGGAAATCCTTCAACTCACATGAGCTGCCAGATCCAACGTCAAGAAGGCAGACAGCAGAGTCTTCCCTCAGGTAAGACAGGCAGAGTCTGCCCACAGGCAGCGGACAGCAGGGGGAGTCAGCAA